AAAATCTGAGAAATAAAAAAATAAATGAAAATTTCCAGCATAAATGGAGACTAATGTTACATTATAAAGCTTCTCAGAGCTAACCTCTAAATCAATTTTGTATGTTGTACTACCATCAGGCCAATGTTTTTGATCAAATGAAGGCCAATGTGGACCAGACCACCAAGAAGTTAATTCAATGAGCTCACCAGGTTTGCAACCTCATGATATAATGTCAGCTGGATTATGCAAAGTTGACACATGTCGCCAACAATCTATTTCTGTCAAACATTGTATTTTTGATACACGGTTTGACACAAATCTCTTCCATTTATATGGTTCTTGAGATATCCATGATAGGACGCAATTTGTGAATCTGTCCATAGAAAGACATTCTTTGAATCTATATTCAATTTTAGTAATTTAATAGTATTATTGACAAATTCAGATAAAAGCACAGCCTCACAAAGTTCTACGCTTGGTAATGAAACTGTCTTGATAGGAGCTACGCGTGACTTGATACATAGCAATTGAAAATAAACTTTACGGAAGGAATATATAATTCTAAGGTAAATGCATATTCGATATGCTGCCATTAAAGCATCAGTAAATCCATGAAATTGCAACGTGATGTAGTTTGATAGCACTGCATCATTTAATTTGATATAATTTTCTTTTAATGGCAAAATAACTTCAAAACGCCCTGTTATATCTCTAGTGTACTTAGAAAATGATTTTCGCAAAATTGCTCTTCTTCACTTAAAACTGGCGCACTGAACCGAACATTTTCAATCAGCCAAAACTTTCTTAATAAAGACTGAACTTGTGCATTGATAGGACTGGTAACTGTCATAAAGCACTGAGAGTTTGGGATGTTCGAATTAGTTTGAAAGAATTGACTTGCAAAGGTCCTGCGATTATCCAACCAAGAGCTGTTTCTGTGAGAATTGGCAAATTTTTTCCTATATTTGTTTGCTGTCATGTCAAGAGTTCATTAAATACTGTGGCTTCTGAAAAAAATTCTACATGTTGAAGTAAATGGAGTTGCTGATCTGCTAATATAATATTTTTTGGAATATTTAATTTAGAAGCATTGATAGATAAAGTTGTTTGTGGAATTTGACCTGTTAATTTATCTATTAATAAAAATGGTAATGATTTAGTGAATTTATTATACATGGAATGAATTTTAACTTCTATACCTTTGTTGATTATAGTTTGAGTTTGTCTGATTCCTATAATCGGATAATTAACTTCACTTGTATTAACTTGCAGCTTTTTGACTAAATTTATAGTTATAAAATTAGTCTGAGAACCTCCATCGAGCAAGGCCCTCCTCATTTTGAATTTTCCTGAATTATCTTCGATAAAAATGTTAGCTGTACCCAGAAAAATGTGAACATTATCATTGCATTTAAAAGTGGAATGATTATTGATACTAGAATGAGCGAGCAGAAAACAATTCATTAAATTGACTCTGAACTGAGCCTTGAACATCAAAGCTGTGATCTTCTGCATGAACATTATTATTTTGGAAATTGTCATTGTTAAATTGAGAAACATTGTGATTAATGTGAGAAACATTACTTTGATTTGGCCGATAATCGGAAACACTAGGCAGTGGACTTTGTGAAACATGTTGAACATTTGAATTCAATTTTGATTTTCAGAGAACTTTACAATTGGCTCTTTTTGAATTGAAAAATTACCATCAATATGTAATAGAGTGTTGTGCCTTAATTTACATTTTGTGCACTGGCCTGTGCCTACATTCATAGGTATGACTTGATCTTAGACAATTCTCACAAATATTTAACCTATCCACTTCTTTTATACGGTTTTGAACTGAAAGATGACGAAATTTATCGCATGCATAAAGGCAATGACTTTATCCGCGAAAAAAAAAAACATTTGATAGCTCTAGTTAACAAATAGGAATAATGTGGAGGTTTTTAGATTTTTGTCTAATAAAAGATTTAGGAATTATTATTTGAAGAATTATTATTTTGTACAGTTTCCAAAAACTGACATCGGCTGTCTAAAAAGTATAAACCGTGCCATCGAGTAATCGATTCCTTCGAAAACGGCGGATAAAACTTATATAGGCGGATAGAAAACATCGAGGCGAATTCGGAAAAATCACTAAAAAAATTCCATGGCCAACTTGGCCACCTGTCAATGTCAAATTTTTGACAGGCGGAAGGAATTTTAAAAAAAGGGCTCCGCAAAGCACGAGATTTCTTTAAGGCATTTCGGAAACACCAGGCGAAATTTTGATGACAGCTGTCATGCGACCGGTGTGTGTTCAATAGGGTAAACGGCCTTTCCCCACGCTTTACCTTACAAGGTGGAAACCTCAAACTCGGTGGAGTATGTTTATTCAACGTGGCCGCCCTGTCGGTGTCAAAATTTTTTGACAGCTGTCAACGTCAAAAAAGTTATTTTTGCATTTCTCGGAAAATTGAAAATCCGAGTGTCGGAAAAGTTTCCCCGGACACGGAAACCCCTTAAAAAAATTTGACATTGACATACGTCAAAAACTGACGGCGTGACAAGGAGAAACGTCATCTTTGACATACGTCAAATTTCGAAGATGCGTTCGGATAGAACTTTAGTCGCAAAACACCTTGGCTTTATCGACAGATGTCACCTGTCAAATTTGACACATGTCCGACTTTTTCCCCGCTCGACTATAAAAGCTACGACACCCAAACCCCGGTAGAAGGCGGTTCTGGGTCACCAACTTGAACTTTGGCATAGAGAAGCTAACATGTAAATTTAAATCAAATTCCATTGTTCTACTGGTTCTCCTAAATTTTTTAAAGAACGATAATATTTCATTAATGTATCAGAAAAGTGTCTTGAAGCAATGGAATTTTCCTTCGGAATATTCTCTAACACGAACAATGACTTTATGTAACAATTACTTAATAACTACTCTCCTATTTTGAATTTTTATTTTTTTTTAAAAGTCCCATGCAACGCCATAGTTTAAATCGGTTATTTCAAGTGATTGAACTGCTTTAAGAGCATCACCTCGTAAGCATGATTTTAAATAATAAAATTTTTGTACTTTGGTTAATGTTTGATTCTGATGAACTAGAGAATCAAAAGTGTCATAAAATTGCATAAATTCGTTGAATGAACCACTAAATTCTGCAATTCTGCGATTTTTATAGGTGGGAGTTGTACATTGGGCAATCGTAAGTTTGCAGGCAAGGATGCCCCACAATGAACATTTTGAGCTGGTGAGTTTGAACTAAACTTTAAGCTGGCATATTTACCTTTCTATGGTCATTAACAATATCTCGAGCTGAAGCAATAGTACTATAGAAAGCGTCTTCAAATGTTACCCTTTCTTGTGATTGTTTATCATCATTGTTAGTTAATAATTCAATTTGACTTTGAACAGAATCGAAATTATTAAAATATGATTCGATTATTGATAATCTTTTTTCTAATTCTGTTGCTGAATGGTTTGCAAAATGAAAAGTGTTCACGAATGAAGTAAATCGCGTTCTACTGTAATGATAAAATATTCATCAGTCAAGAATGCTTCTATCAAAATTTTATTTCACAATTTGACTTTCCGAAATGTTTATTCTGTTGACAGCACACAGCAGATATAGGATTTACTGCATGAAGTTAATTCACGAATTTTTTTTTTCCTTGGGAATTTTGTTCATCTACTCAAGATACAAAACTTAAAAAAAAAAAAATCATCAATCAATCCCATTAATTTTTCCAATTTTATCACAAAGTAAAAACTATAGCTGCTTATTTTGGAGAAAGATCCAAATAACAGACTGTCAGCTATACTGTGGAGTTCATTTACATTTAAATGGAAACAGTGAACTGTTGCCGGAATATACTGACTTCTATTTCGTATCAGATTTCCCCCTCGTGATTAAAAAATAGGGACCTATTCCTGCACGTGCCGCAACTGTTTACTCCCTATATGCATATATTATGTATACATAGATTATATTAACTGCAGGATTAACATGGCAGTGACAAGCGACGGTAGCGCTATCTGATCGCGACGCTTAATTGAAACGTCACCAAATAGGCTGCGATGCTTTGTTTTTGGTTTAATTATCAATTTACCAACTAATTTTGGGCGTTAAATCAACCTATTTAACTTTATGCCTCAGTTTCCAATATTGCTTTATAATTGATTTATTATTTTTTTACTACAAAAATAAATGCTGGTATACAAAAATAACCGGTTCTGATGTGCCGAGAAAGATTCTGGGCTCTAATCTTCGGATTTTTCAGGGTGACTTTCTGAAATACAACAAAGTTAACATAAGTGTAGAAGTTTCCTTCTCGAAATTTACAGTAGATATTTCTTTTTTTTGAGAGAGATATATATATATATATATATATATATATATATATATATATAAAGTTATTAATTTCTTGGGGTATTAATAACTTTGTTTCGTTAACTAGTCAGGAGAACGAGACAGACGATACAACGCAAACCTATGTTAACTGTGCAACTTTTTTCTCGCCAAGGAGAAGCTCTATGGTTGAATAAACTTAGCCAATTTTTCAAAGGAAAATCATATAACATTTTACGCACAGTTTTTATCTGCAAGAGGCTCACACCTAATGAGTACGGGATCTGGCATCCCCGGGGCACCCTAGCTGGATCTAGGCACTGCTTCAACTTGTCTGGCGTCTGATCCTGATCCCTTACTTTTCTCTTTCCTAAAGCGATCTCCCTTGATCAACTCTTCTTTCATGCTCCTTTCAGACTATTCTCTCTCCCAAGTCAAGGTGGAAAGCAACGTGCTGCGGACTGGATGGTCACCAGGGACAAGTGGGATCTCGATCGTTCCCCCGGGGGTACCAGGCAGCACCCCCCTGTATTCCATGCCTTACCCAACCATGCGAGGCTCTGGCTGGGTGGACCTTTATTTCCCTAGCTTCTCGTGGGATCAAGTATGAGTACAAACATTGACAATCCAAATCCAAATTAACAAGGCGAGGGCAAAGGCAAATTTAATGCCAAGTCCAGCTACAGAGCAAACTCCCTGGAGGAGATCGATAACCTGACGGAGGAAGAGGTCCATAAGGCCACTTTGTCAGGTTCATCAAGAGCAAAATTGCGTAACCTGGTCACGAAAGGCAAAAGCTACACTGAAGCTAAGCGCGCCGTGATCAGGGAAAACTTCCTGAACCACATGGAGGGAAAGGGCAAAGCAAAGGTGGCGACAAAGAGCGCTGAATCCAGCATTGCCCAAAAAAGAACCAGGTCGGAGGACAGCACACCCCAAAAGAGGCAAACTACAAATCCAAGAGGTGGGCAAATCCCGGCTACCACGACAAGTAAGTCGTACAAGGATGCGGCGGAAGCCCAGATGACGATCGAGAGGATGCAACAATTACAAGCAGTGATCTCGGCAGCGCACGAGAATATCCCTGAAAATGACCCACAAGTGCGTTTTGAAAAATGCAGTCACAGGCTGGGATATTTTGAGGTCACCTGCGCAGACAAGATCAGCGCGGTGTGGCTAATGGAAACGGTGTCAACACTCAAGCTCTGGGAGGGCGCAGTGTTAAAGGCATTAACAGGCGAGGACTTGCCAAAGCCAGAGACCTGCACCGTCTTCATCCCGGATGAGAAGGGAGAAAGACTGTCCGCCGAGAGAATCCTCAAGAAGCTCTCAATGGAAAACAGAGGCCTGAACACTGAACACAAGCCTGTGGAAGTCCTGGGGCGCAGTCCCAATGGACAAAGGCTAACTGTGGGCCCTCTTTATGGACAAGCAGTCGCTAGAGGGCCTGGAGAAACAGGACATGAGCCCCTACTCCAGATTTGGAAGGCTGAAGTTCAGAAGAAAGCGGGAAAAGAAGCCCGAGGACAAGGTCCACCATACCGCCGTAGGTCCTAAGGCCAGCACATCAAAGGCCGACGCTTTGGTACCGGAGGAGAAGAAACAGACCCAGTAGCACACAATGTTGGTCCCATGTTGCGGATACATTGGACCAATATTGTATGTTGGCCCAATATTGAAATTTTTTAGCCAACATTGGACATTTATTGGCAATACAACTTCTTTCATCATTATAATAATATATTTATCCAAGAATGGGCCAATATGCACAAACAATATTTTTATCGGTAGCATATAGCCAAGATTGGTAACATATTGGCAATACATATTTTTCTTATATAACAGTGATATATTTATCCATCATTGAACCGATAAGCACAAAAAAATTGTTTTTTTTTTGCATTATTGAGCCAACATTGGCAAAACATTTTTTTCCACATTGTAATATTATATTTACTTAAGAATGGGCCAATATTGGATATAATATGGCAAAACAAATTTTTCTAATATAACAGCGATATATTTATCCATATTGGCCAAATATTGATTCTTTATTGGTAAAATATTGTATATGGGTCCAATATTAGCAATTTGTAGCCAATATTGGTAATATATTAGAGATTAATCTTTTTCCTACATTATTATTATATAATATGTGAATCCAAGATTGATCCGATATTGGATCCAATCCATGTTTGGCAATATCTTTTATTCATGTTTATATTTAATATTTATCCAATATTGGTGATATATAGGAGATGTATCTTTTCCATATCAATCAGGACTACCGAGAGAGGGCACCACGCGCTACTGATGGCCTTGCTCTTTCCTAGTGTTTGAGTTTCCTTCAAACCTGTTTCTTTAAGTTCGTTGTTAAGCTCGAAGCCGGAAACCGGTCTAGTCTGCAGGTGTTGAAGCTTTGGTTAAATACATGTGTTTTTCCAAACAAATATTGCTTTCCTTTCCTGGGTAATCTGCTGCGTCTACTTCCCTGGTGGAGGATGCCGTGGCCCACTGCAGGGGAGGGAGACGACGATTAATCGTTGGAGGCGATGTAAACGCCCACCACACAATCTGGGGAAGCACCAACAGAAATGGCAGAGGTGAGTCCTTGCATGAATTCATTATGGGTGAAGGGTTAGATATAGCTAATATAGGCGTAGAACCCACTTTCGCGACATCAGTCATGCGTGGGGTCCTTGATCTCACTTTTTGTAGTCACGATGTCAACGACAACATTACGAACTGGCATGTCTCCGACGATCCATCATGTTCAGACCATCGCCACATAAGGTTCGATATCACAACTTCGAAATTGGAGACCAGGAAATTCCGTAACCCAAGAAGGACTAGCTGGCAAGGCTACGAGACAGCCCTAGAGGAGTCACTCAGGGGGGGGGGGGCGTGGTAACCATCTCCACAGCGAAGGGTCTTGACCTGGCGGTAGAACAATTGAGCGAGGCAATACAAGAGGCCTATCAGGATAACTGTCCTGAGCAAACAAGACACCAAAGGAAAAAGTCAGTCTGGTGGAACAAACACGTTAGAAGGCTATTTAATAAAGCTAAAATTAACCAGGACTGGAATAGGTACAGAACGAAACTTACGCAGTACAATAAGCAGATCCGCAAGGCAAAAAGAATGTCATGGAAGCGATTCTGCGAAGAAATCACAGAAACGCCGGTGTGCGCTAGGGTGCACAAAGTCCTTGCAAGGGAAGGTACTGCAGGCGCTCTCGGCCCCCTAAAAAGATCGAACAGGGCCTACACGAGCACTAACGAGGAAAGATTAGGGCTATTACTAGATACCCACTTTCCAGGATCTTCTATAATTACTGATCAATCTAGGCCGACAGATCAAGTCCGAACGACCAGAAGACCATTAAAGGTGGACTGGGACAGAGCAAAGGAACTGGTGACATATGAGAGAATTAAATGGGCCATAGGCGAGTTCCACCCCTTCAAATCGCCAGGCCTGGATGGAATCTACCCAGCACTGCTCCAGAAAGGTCAGGACATACTAATGCCACACCTTTGCAAAATTTTCAGAGCATGCATTGCTTGGGGCCACATACCAGAAGTTTGGCGAAAGGCGACAGTCGTCTAACTGCCAAAGATTGGCAGGTGCCTAGACAAAACGCCCAAGTCATACAGACCTATATGTCTATCCTCGTTCCTGCACAAAAAGTTGGAAAAAATTGTGGATAGATACATCAGAGACCGCACACTGACACTCTATCCTCTAAGCGATCGCCAGTATGCCTACCAACCAGGAAAGTCTACGGACTCCGCACTGGATGACCTAAACAGACTCCTGACAAAGTCAATTGATGACAAAGAGGTAGCTAAGGCACGTTTCTAGATATAGAGGGAGCGTTTAACAACTTTCCAACCACATCACTAATGAACGCTCTCAAGCGAATATCCCGCATACCGTTTGCAACTGTATAGAAGCAAGCCTAAGAAATAGGGTCATTATATCTACTCTGGGTGAGGACACAGTAGAAGCAATAGTGGGAGGGGCTGCCCACAGGGAGGCGTTTTATCGCCATTGTATTGGGCGGTCCTGGTCGACGATCTCCTGGCAAAAACTGCCAAGGAGAGATTCTACTGCCTTGGCTACGCGGATGATATAGTCCTGGTAGTCAGAGGCTGGCATCTAGAACATGTCTCAAAAAGAACTCAAAAAGCACTGAACATAGTAGATGACTGGTGTAGGGATGAAGGCTTGTCGGTGAATCCGCAAAAACCCGTAATTGTCCCATTCACAAAGAAAAGAGTACTAAGAGGACTTCGATGTCCTAAGCTCAATAGAGCAATAGACTTATTTTTGACCAAAAGATGACCTGGGGTCCGCACCTCAATAAAGTTGTCCAAAAGGCCAAAATTTCACTGGGGAGATGCAGAAGGCTTTGTGGAAAAAGCTGGGGACTTGATCCAAAGATGAATCTATGGTTATACAAAATGGTGATGAATGAAGACTAATGATAATCTGCGGTTCGGTTGCCTGGGGTACAAAAGTCACACAGACCGTAGGAATCAGACAGCTTCAAAGTGTGCAAAGGCTAGCCTGCGTATGCATCACGGGTGCCATGAAAACAGCCCCAACCGCAGGCTTGGAGGTGCTGCTAAACCTGCCGCCACTACATATCTACATACAGGGCGAAGTAAAGGCGGTACTATACAGACTGAAGCAAGGCCAGGGTCCAATTATAAAACACCAAAGGCCCATGAGCTGGAAAATGGAGGAGGATCCAGAGGTCAACTCATTGTTCGGGATGCCCTCAGACAAAACAAAACCTATTTTCATCTTCAATAGGCACTTCCGGGTTGCCATACCAGAGAGGAAAGACTAGGAGAAAGGTCCTCCAATTAAAGCAGACCACATCTGGTACACCGATGGCTCCAAGACCAGAAAGGGGGTCGGAGTCGGCTTCTACGGGGACAAACCTAGGGTGGAAATATCCAGAAGTCTCGGACAGTACGCCACGGTGCTTCAGGCGGAAATCGCTGCAATAATGCACTGTGCCATACTGATGAATGAAAGGAAAGTTTGGAGTAAAAACATCGTTATTTACTCGGACAGCCAGGCGGCCCTTAAGGCAATCAGCTCCCAAAAGATCAGCTCCAAGCTGGTTGGGGACTGTGTACGTGCATTAGAGGAGGTGGGCCTGTCCAACAAACTTACCATAGCCTGGGTACCAGGCCACGAGGGCTACTCGGGAAATGAAAAGGCTGATGACCCGGCCAAAGGAGGCTCGGCCACTGAGATGATAGGCTCAGAACCATTCTGCAGAATTTCTTCAGGCAGTTTTAAAACATCTATTAAGAACTGGATAGACAAAGAGTTCCAGAGCTGGTGGCAGCGAACACCAGGACAACGACAGGCAAAGCAGTTTATCAAATCCTGCTCGCCCAAGTTCACAGCGGACCTACTAAGCCACAACCGCAAGCACCTGGAAAGAATGAACCTGGCAGTGTGTAGGTTCTGCCACGAGGCGGAAAAAACTGCCGTACATGTATGGTGCCATTGCGAAGCGCTATGCAGGCTTAGGTTTGCGAGGCTTGGAGAGGAAAAGCCCAATCCGGCAAGCTGCATGGGGTGGCCAGTATCATGGCTCTGGACTCTAATAAAAAGAACGGGTCTAGAGAACTCACTCTAAGGACAGATAGGAGATACCACAATAAATTTGATAAGGTTGCAGTGGTATCTACAATCTATACTTGAAGCATTTAAATATGGATCGAAGGTAATTATCATCATCAATTAATTGATCCAATAATTGGCTGATATTAATGGTTGGGCGTCTAATCCCGATGCCTGCTGATGTCGCTATATATCGACGATGCATCCGTGGTTGATAGGATTGATAGGAAAATGGACTCCAACAGCCATTAATTGCGAATGTGTTACCCCACCAATTTCTAATTCACTCCCATACCAACGATAACCGCCGAAAGTTGCCGTTGGTCTTCACAACTATCATTTCAAAATTGATGAAATACTTGACCGACAGGGTAGAAATGGGACAGGTCTCGGTAGCTCATTTGGTAGAGCACTGCAAGGGAGGGTCCTGGGTTCAAATCCTAGTCGAGTCAAGAAAACTTTTCATCAGTTTTAATTAACGTCTGCATGCCACTAAACTTATTGACACACTATAAATATTATTGAAATAAAAACAAACCACCAACGAGTTAAAAAGAAGTAACACGAAGCAGTACAAAAATTTACGATAAATAATGAAAGTATCATTGTCCATTCCTTAAGAATACATTCAATCCATTGCTGAAGAGTCTCAGATAGAAATATGGCGACCTCGGAATGATGTTCCGAAAAAAAAATTGTAGACTTGCAAGTGAAATTTTCCAAAAATTGTGGTGAAGATTCAATTTCCTTGCTTTTTGAGGAATACTTGTGTGCAGATTTTTCACCTTTCTTGATAAAAATTACCATCAAATAAACAAATTTCGATATGGGCCAAGATGCGGCCAAAAATGTTATCGCTGATTCTGTCATCCGGCATTTTCAAAAAGTCCATCCAACGGCATCACTAGTCT